CACACACACACAATCAGTGTTTTGCATGCATTCCTTTCTGGTTTCTTTACGTATTTCTTCTCTTTTGGTGTACACCGTTCATGCATTTTTTTCTAAATACTTTCTGGTTGTCTTATTGAGCACCCTCAGATAGTGCCAAACAGTCGGTCAGTCCCTCTTTGGAGTGCCTACAGCACTATTACGGGGGCTTCTCTCTTCGTGATGTCTGTGTGTTCCATGGATGATGACGGACATTCGTCGGAGTGACGCCCTGGCTCAGTGGGTGGTGGGAACCAACAGTCTGCGGGGTTCAATCGTGATGTGAGTAGGTGATGTGCCGCTTTGCTCTGTGTTCGATGTGTAGACTCCGCTATGTCTGCGCTCCACCGCTGCTGTTACATGCCCAGTCGGGCGATGTACATAAATAACCGAGGATCCGCAATGTGATAAAAAGGACTGAATGGACAATGCAGTGCAAGTGAAATCTCAACAAGCAGTGTACATTCTGATACATACAAAAATGGTGCTTTATAGCGCAGGGGAAGACTTAGATACAAGTCCTGACCTGACCGGGACTGACCTCTATCACGTAGTGCAAGACAGCGCAGCAGAATGCTAGAATACCAATGACTAGCTCAATCAATGTTGCAACGCAGACCAAACATACATCATCCTCATCACAAGGTGTGAAGGGGCCTGCCGCTACACACAGGAAGAATGCGCCAGGTCCAAATCATGCACAGACGAAGAGGAGGGGAACAGATGAAGAAGAGGCGGAGAGATGGGAATGTCGTCAACACCCAAGTCTTTGTTACAAGTCCCAAATAATCCCTCGTCAAAATGTCTGAAGCCCAATGTCGAGTCTGGATCCAAATGTCACCAAGCCCGCTCTCTCATAGTCTGCTGATGCATTGAAGTCAGGTAGCGAGAGGGTGAGAGGGAGATGGTGGACTGAGAAGAGGAAGAAGAAGAACTCGCTCTCTCTCATATGCCAGGTACTAACCTGTGAAGATGGCGCTGTGCTGCAGGTACCTCGAAGGCGAAGCTGGAGCTATGGCGCTGCAGGTAAGTATCCCTGGCCTCCACCCAATCTCTCTCTCTCTAGTACTACTCTAGCTCCTAAGAGCGCCCAGCGCTGAAGACTACTGCTAATGCTACTAGCGCCCAGCGCTGAAGACTACTGCTAGCGCTACTACTACTCCTGTAGCGCTCCTCCAGAGTGTGCCTTCCGTGTTCCTTGCTTGTGTGCCGTGTAGTATGGATGTTGTGTTGGTGCTGCCTTGTGCTTTGCCACGTGTTGCCCTGCTGCATGTCCACTTGCTGTGCCGTTCCTTGCAGTCGTTTCTGGCATTGCGCATCCATGTTGCCTCTACTGCGTTGCCTGGTGCACCGCAGGGTTGCTGCCAACTGCTATGTTCCACTTGGGGGACAGTCTGCCTTCAACAAGGGTCAAAGGGTTCATGACCCAAACCATCAATACATGGATTCTGCAGATTGTCGAGGGTTCAGCCTCCTGATGAGCCGGTGCAAGTCTGCCGAAACACTCTGTCATCATCAGTGTTTGTTTACTTTTTCCGCTCTCCGTTTTTCCAACTAGGTATCGGTACTTTGTGCCTTTTTCACTTGTTGCTTTTGTTGGTTGCCTGCCCATCCTCCTCCCCCATTTCCTCCACGCTATGTGACTTGCAACCTCTTGTTGTCCAGTGCGTTGTTACCTCACCGTCCTTCGCCTCACTGTGTTTTGCCTTAATGGCCTTTGCATCGCGACATTCCATGGCCATCTTAGCCAGGCGTATGAGGACACCTCACCTTCTAATGAGCCTTGACAGGAGCAAGCGCCAAGAAGTGTGTGAAGGGATGTGTCATCCCTCCTCTGTTGGTCACTACACCAACCTTGATCGTTATGCCATCGTTGGTCGCCGCTCTTCCGCTCTCCTCCTCCATCTTCTCTTCTATTGACCTTTGCGCTTGTCCGCGGGTATTGATGGTATGTGGAGTGGGACAGACCGACGAACTGGAACACGGTCCAGCACTCACAAGGTTCCCGTATATCAGGTTGCTTATTACTTCACACACACACACACACACACACACACACGCACACACACACACACACACACACACACACACACACACAGAATTGGTGTTTTTGTTTGGTTCATTTCGGTTCTGCAGGAATCGGCTCCTCTCTCTCTCTCTCTCTCTCT